GGAGTGTAGTAAGGAACACGAGACACCCGTATCCAAAGACAAAGAACCCTGTGGGTGGTTTAAATTCCTGTTTCCACCTGGTCAGAGCCTCTGACCTCTCTGAACCCCAGGAATTTTCCTAACCTCCAGGCTTGGTAGGAATTTCTCCTGCTCAGCCTTCTCCTGTAGCCAACCCGGTCCTAGAATTACCGTTGCCAGGGACCCATCACCAGTCCCATCCGTGGTCCTGCCTTGGCCCCATGCACTGTCTCCTTTGTTCCTGGCACCTGCACGGGTGCCTACGGGCTGCACCCCATCTCTCCCACAGCCTGGGAGAAGACACCAACGGGAACGTCTAGGTCCTTCTGGGGGACAGCCAGGGGCAGCCGTCAGCCATTTCCCCCGTGCCCAATCCTGCAGGCAGCAGCCTGTCCCAAGTTCCCTGGGCCGCGACCCCTGAGGAGCCTGGCATCATCCTGCTCCCCAGGTGGAGGGGCTGGGTGGCGGGGGCTGTGAGCCCTGGGCCGGGGCCTGCAGGGGTAGAGGTCGCCATCCTCCTCCCAACAGTGACCTCTCCTTACAGGAATGGCTTGAGGCTCTCAAGCCCACATCCTCTCTTTTCTGCACGAACAGTCGGGCAGTGGCACCTCTGAGCCCTGCCTGCCTCCGGCCGGTGGTTAACAGTCAGAAAATAATGTGCCCCGAGGTCCTTGCCGCTTCACCAGCTGGCTCCATCTTTTCCTGTTTGGCCTTGGCTGCTTGCAGCTCCCTGACCCCTCTGCGACCTGCCACTGGCATGCTCCCTCTCTCACACAGCCACGCTGGGAGCCTTTGGCGGCCCTTCTCCCTGCAACTCCACCTCGGCAGCAGCTGGAGTCTCCGCTCCTCTTCCCTGGCCACGCTGCTCTGAGAAGGGGCGGGGGCCCCCACCTGCCGGCACACCACACCTGCTCAGTTTTCCAACGGTCCCTGATCGTGCAGGGGAGGAATGCTCCAGAGTCAGCCCAATGAGGAGTTCTGAAAGTCCAACCATATGAAGTTCTTAAAACTTCCTGCAAGGAGGGCGCCACCGGGGGCCCAGCTGCCTGGGCTCATAGCCCCCGTGAGTCTGCCCCAGAAACTGTAGCTGGGGTCCAGCTTGCGCTGATGCAGTATCAGTCCATCTGAAGGTGGAATTGCTAATTAATCACCTGAATGGCACCATGAGAAATGTTTCCACACAGCTCCTGCAGAGCTCCTCATTAAAGAAAGTATTGGTTTGGTTCAGACAGTGCTGTGCTGTTCCAGGTTCCTTTTGGATCTGTAGCTTTAGAAAATACCCGACTTTGCTTCTAGTCCAAACTGTACCATTAAAAAATTAACGGAAAAAAAAGGTAGATGGTACAGAGGGAAGATGAATGTTTGGGTCCCCTTCTGTGCTTACCAAACTGATTCCTTCTATGTTTGGGGTCCACTGTGGCCAAGTTTGGAGTGGCCTAGTTCTTATGGAGGGCTCTGGGGCCAAGGCTACAAGAACTTCCTTTAGAAGTCTCATTCCTGGTTTCTCTTCAGACCAAACCTCAGTGGTTGCTTCTGGAAGGACGGGGGGCGCGGGGGGCAGCCCTGAGTGCAGGGGCCAGCCAGTCACAAAAACCGAAGTGGGGCTGGAGGTTGGGGAGGAGTTAGGGCAGGATGGGTCCAGTTCACACCAAGTCTCCCCGGGGACCGTGAGGATGGAACGAGATACAGGTCAGAGCAAGGGGGCAAACGAGGACCAAAGGCCCCATAGTCCTGAGGAGCCGGACACACGTGAGACCCAGGAGTCCGAGGGAGGTCACGGTCAGGAACTTCTGGCACGGGGGGGCTTTGGGGAGGCCTCACCTGAGCTGAGACTTGATGGCCAGCGACGTGTGACACAGACATGGTCAGGACAGTGAGTCCCAGGCGGGGGCACAGAGAACGGCCCTGAGGCCTGCAGCCTCGCTGGTGTGCAGGGCGCTGCGTGCACACAGACGGGGAGGCCGCTGGGCTCTGAGCTTAGAGCCATGGCCATGATCGGCACAGGCATGAAGGGCGGGGGGCGAGCAGGCAGAAGCCACTGCTGAGGACGGAGGGGAGCCTGCCCAGGAGAGGCCGCTGGAGCACGCCTGGCCTGCCCGGTGGCACTGGGGGCTTTGGGCCACGTAGCTACCTGTATCCATCCCAGGCGTTCACGGTGAGCCGCCCCCCCGCCCCACCGTCACTGTTTAGTGGGGACGATACACACAGCAGGTTGGTGTGCAGGCTCTGCAGCTGGACTCTCTGGGTTCGGCTTCTGGGTTCAGCCACGCTCTTGCCGTGTGACCTGAGACCAGCGACTTTGCCTCCCTGTGCACACGTCTCGGCCACCCGACGAGTGATGCCATGCTCATCTCCCAGGGTGAGAAGTGCTCACAGGAGGGGGGCCCCTGCTGTCACGGAGCACCCGTGTGTGCACTTTGGGCCACTCTGCAGAGTGAGGCACTGATCCTGCCAAGGAAGGGTTCCGCTCCCTCCCTCGCTCTCTGGTGGGAGGGATACCTTTCCACCGCCCCCGCTACAGAAAATGACGTTTCCTCTGCTCTTGAGAAGTGTGGCAGGCTCACCCTGAGTTGGATTATTGCCTCCTCAGCAGTAGGCCAGGAATTTTGGTGGCCGCCTCGAGAGAACGGTGGTCCCTGCCCAGGCTTGGTTAGCCGGGGGAAGCTGGATAGCCTGGGGCCCAGTAAATCCTGACTTGCATTGAAACGGGACCTCTCCAAATTACAGCAGGGTGTCTGAGGTCTGTCACCTCCCGAGCTGTCTTCATGCTTCCTGGAACCATGGCGGCCCAGCCCTCCCCGGCTCCCACAGGGGAAGCCAGGGGATACCCAGCTGTGACATCTCAGGATGCACCTGGGCTAACAGCATCCCCTTGACAGCCCCGGCGCCCAAGGGCCTGGGAACCGAAGCCCTGAAGGCTTCCCCGGTCCTTCCTAGGGTCAGGGAGGGCCACTTCCTACTACAGAGTCCCCTCCGAGGCAGGCACAGAATAAGCCCCTCACGTGCTTCTGTCTGTGTTCAGTCCCGGGCTTCTCAGGAACCAGACAGCCTGCCTCAGATTTTCCTTTTCATGTCTCCCGGAGGGCAGAGGGCCACATATGCAAATCAGGTCCCAGTAGCAGCCTTAGAATCTGAAGTTAAATGTGTAAATCAGTTTCTCAATCTTGGCACCCGTGACATTGCAGCCCAGATCATTCTTTGCCATGGGGCCTGTCCCGTATGCTGTGGGATGTTCGGCAGCATCCTTGGCTTCTCCCCACTAGATGCCAGGAGGCCTCCTTCCCCAGGTGTGACAATAAAAAAATGTCTCCAGACAGTGCCAGATGTCCCCTGGGGACAAAATTGTGCCAGGTTGAGAACGACTGGTATCAATTAAACTACAGTAACAATTCCAGGCCACCCACAGACCAGAAGATGGCCAAGTTCCTGCCCCCAGTGTGGGGCTGGCATGCGCTGGCCAGTCCCCTCCACCTCGTTGCATGCTTGGGAAGAAGGGCACCTACAGATGATAGGGGCAGGCCTACCACCATCGTTCAGAGCCTGGAACACTTCCCTCACCCCTGCTTGTGGGCAGTTCTGAGCCTGGGAGACTGTGGGCTCAATAAAATGGCCCTGGGCGAGGTGCACAGTTGACATAACTCGAAAGGAAGCCTTGCGCCTGTATGGAATGTTCTTCGTGAAAAGGAATATCCTCTCCTCCGTCTGTGTTTCTTAAGTCCTGCCCATGCCGGGCTCCGCCCTGGGCTCTGGGAGATAGTCAGGCAAGGCCCCTGGGCCCGTGGGCTTGCATCGCCCCTGACCTGGCCCCACATCCCCCACCCTGCAAGCTGCCTTCTCATTGTCACCCCTCCTGCCTGCATCCCTTCCCCTACTTGAGGGGCCCTAGAGTTTCAGGGCTCCGTCAGCGGCTGAGCGTCCCCTGCAATCCAGGGATCCCAGTGACCATGGCCAGGCTGACGGGTGGTGCCTGGGGGAGAAGGAGGTGTCCCCAGCCATTGCGCCTGGGTAGGGGCTGGGCTTCCCCAGAGGGGGCTGTTTCAGGCAGTAACGCTCCCCTGCTCCTCCTCCTCTCCCTCCTCCCTCGTCCCCTCTCCCCTGCCTGGAGCCCGCTTCCTCTCCTCCTCCCCGCCCCCTCCTAGCCACATGGCCTGACACGCATGTCTGACCTGTTGGCCCCTGCAAGGACACACCAGGATGGAACAGTGTCCCGGAGCCTCCTGCCTGTGAAGCCTGGCGGGAGCAGGAGGGGTCCCAGCCGAGAGCACAGCCAGGAAAGCTGCGCGCAGGCTGGGAAGCGTGCAGAGCAGCCCCGAGCCTGGACAAGGCCAGGCAGTGGTGGCGACAGGAAGTTAGAACCCGCTGCAGGGCCATGAGGGGCTGGAAGACACACCGACGCCTTTCTCCGGGCAGGTGCCTTTGCAATTTCCTGAGCCTTGGTGGCTGCCCAGCCACCCCTACGCTCTCAGCCTCTTCTGCTCCACTACCCTCTGTGCGCTCCAGGCTTCGCATATGCTCTCCCCTCTGCCTGGCACATGCCTCCTGCCTTCTTCACCTGGAAACTCCTCCTTAGAGATGCCACTCAGGTGTCACCTCCTCCAGGAAGCCTTCTCTGACTGCCCTCCCCACCTAGGACCACCCATCATTTCTAAGCCTTGCCCTGTTGTGACATTTGTGACACAGCATTGTAATCACTTACTTACCTGTCCCCCCCCCATAACTTTGAGGTGGGTGGATGGACTAACGAACTGACAGTAGACCACTGGGTGAAGGCGTGAGTGGGGAGCTCCGTGCCAGCAGCCAGGAAAGGCGAGTCTACCTGGAGCGGCTGGGAAGAGGAGGAAGACAGCATGGATGATGGGGTCCTCAGCAGGCGCCCCACCTTCCCCACCGCTTGCGGGAGACATTTGTTCTAGAAGTCCTGGAGCACCATCTGCCTCCATGGGCCTGATCCTCGTGTGACCACCTTCACTCCTTTCTCCTAGTATTTCTGCCTGTTGCTGGTGATCTTCCTGGTTGAGCTGGTGGCAGGGGTCCTGGCCCATATGTACTACCAGAGGGTGAGTGCAAGTGTCCTCCTGCTATGTTCCCCATCGGCACCCTGCAGAGGCGACAGCATGGGGCGGGGTGAACAGGAATGGGGGAGCTAGGGCAGTGACACACAGGGGTGTCTTGTCTCCCGGGCCCCAACAATCCTCGGCACATCCAGGTCCTCCTTCTTGTCCCGCTTCCAGCAATTCTCTGCCCCATCTGTGGATGCTGATGTGCTGAGCGTGGGAGTCAGGGAGTGGGGACGCCCCATGGGAGGTGGGTGGCCCATCTCCCCTTCGATGCAGAGATAGAGGATGAAGCCAAATGGCGAGCATCCAAGGAGCAAGGCTGGGGCCAGGGCTGCCTGCCGAAATAGGAAGACCGCTCCCGGCCTTGCCTGCCTGCATTAGACGAGGACAAAGTGGCCAATCAGGTGCCCTCCCACCCAGTGCTGGGAATCAGGGGTTCAAGACCATGACCAGGGTGAGACAGATGACCACCCTGGTTATTTTAAGCCAGCACCCGTACAACCGATGGCTGCCCACAGGGTAACAATTGTAAATATTTTGAGTATCACCTCATCATCAAATGAAAAAAAGATTTAAAAGCCACCCCCCTCGTGTCCAGCCTCATTGCCCTTCCACTGGCTTTGAGCCGGCCCCTCCCCAGCCCACCTATCAGCTCTGCCTGTCAGCCGTCTGGCCTTGCGTCGGGGCCCCAGCTTTTGCAACCTCTCTCTGTGAACCCCGTGTCCCAAGCTGTCTCCTACAGATGCTCCCATTAACTGAGACCCCTCTGCCCTCGCACCATTCAACACCCACGGTGCTCTAGAGTTAGCTCCGAGTGGGCCTGGGGAGCAAGACAGGCGTGAGCAGTTCTGCCACGTCCCCTCTCTGCTCTCCAGCTCAGTGATGAACTGAAGCAGCACCTGAGCCGGACTCTGGCTGAGAACTACAGGCAGCCCGGGGCCTCCGACCTCACAACGTCAGTAGACCGTCTCCAGCAGGATGTAAGCAGCTGCCCGCTCCGGTCCCCCTTCTCCCTGCCACCCCACCCTCACCCTTCGCCTGCGATCTCTGTATCTACAGACCCCACCTAGGGCTTGAGGCCTTGGTCTTTTTAGCCAGGAATACCAGGCAAGGAGGCAGAGCAGAGGTCAGTGGGGCTCAGAGCTCTAGGGGCATCTTAGTTCCACAGGGAGGCACCTTCCGCATCCCCCCAAGACTGGCTTAGCTCCCAGTAGGCTCTGCCCAGAGGGGTTTCTTGTGCGCTGCTCTAGTGGCTAAGGGCACCTGTGTACACAGAGGTACGCACCCATCCAACCCACACCCACACGCTTAGCACACGCACCCTGCTGGTCAGCCCTGTCCAAAGCTCAGTCTGCACTTGTGGGACCTCACATGTGAGGAACGGAGCCTGAATCCCTGCTCTCAGGGTCTTACTTCTGGAGCCTCACACAGCTGCAGTCAGCGCTAGGCTGGGAGGCCCGGCTGAGTGGAGAAAAGAGCTGGGGAGGCCAACCGGGGGGACCAAGAAGGAGGGACCGGGTTTGCCTCGGTAGAGAGGGTGGGAGGGGCAGTCAGAGAGTGGGGAACAGCATGAGGAAGGGCACAGCTGGGAGCCAGTGTCTGCCGTTGCCCCAGGTCTCCGTGGGGACCCAGAGCATGTGGCCACCAGCCCACACATGCCAGCAACAGTCAGAACCAGAGGGGCATGAGGGACCTCGGGCCTAGGCCTGCATTCTAGGCCTGAGGAAACAGCCCCGAGAAGGCAGTGGGCTTCAGGCCAGGGCCAGTATCTGGGCTGTGGGCTGTACCCCCCTAGGTCAATGGCCCCCACATGCCTGTATTCAGGAAATGACCATCGCAGGAGACGGTGTCTCTTCCTAACTGCTCAGCCCTGCAGGGCTCTCCTCTCCAGGGTTCCCAGAATCACCTCTCTCGGTCCTCACACAAACTGGCGTGGAGGTACTCTATTAGCCCCATTGACAAGTGACAAAACGGAAGCCCAGAGAGGCTAAGTCACCTGTCCAGGGGACACGCAGAAGTATAATCCCACGTGACTCCTGGCACACGCCCTGCTCTTCCCGGCTCCATGTGCTGCTCCATCCTGCCTGCCTCCTCGGGGCTCCTCCTCTTCCTTGGGGGACCTTTCCTGGCCCATGAGCAGAACCGCTCGCCTCTCCTCCTCTGAGCTACTCAGCTCCCGATGTCTCCCCGTGGCTCTCCTAGTAAGCTACTGAGATGCGTCGGAAAGCCGGGAACCATGGGACTCACGCGTGAGCCCTGGCCAGCTTCAGACCTGGCACATAGTGGGTGCCTAACACACACTTGATAACTGTACTGAGCGTATTCCCGCCCTGCCTGCACCCCACACACCAGAGACAGCCTCGAAACAGCTGGCTCTGTGGCTCACATGGGGACTTGGAGTCTCCATCCCTCAACTCAGAGGGCAAGCGAGAAACAACGTCCTGTGTGTCTGTATCACCGGAGCCCCGGGCAGGCACTTTCCTGCGCTGGAGCGGTGCGGAAGCCCCCGGTCTTATCCAGCACCCACACTGCCCCCTGGTCAACGCTGACCTGCCCACACTGGGGCTCTGGGACCCTCTCTGCGTTCCCTGCAGGTCTGAGGGCTCTGGGGCTTCAGGGTTTGAATGAGGGTCCAGGGCCCCTGCCTCCCTGGGTGACCAGGAACCCCCCCCCACCCCGTGTGGTCTTGGCCCTGCCCTGGGCTCTGCCCAGGGGTATACAGCCCCACTCTGTCAGGGACCCACCTGCATCTACTCCCTGCCCATCTTCCCACAGACCCTCCCTGCCGTCAGGACACCCAGCATCATCTCCTTACAGGACTTGGGTGGCCAGAAGGTATCTTGCAGTCAGCTTCTGCAAACCTGCCTGGAGAGAAGCCCCAGAGAGACCAGCTCCTTGCTCCAACAGGCAGAGGAGAACTCACAGGGAGGACAAAGAGGGGTTGGGTTAATATCTGAATAATGAGTCCTGCGGCCCGGCCACGGAGGGGCTGGAGGAGCCCGGCGCGCGCTCTTCGCCCCCAGCCTCTGTCTCTCCCTCCAGTTCAAGTGCTGTGGGAGTAACAGCTCCGCCGACTGGCAGCACAGTGCCTACATCCTGTCTCGGGAGGCCGAGGGCCGCCGGGTGCCCGACAGCTGCTGCAAGACGGTGGTGGCACGCTGTGGCCAACGGGCCCACCCCTCCAACATCTACAAGGTGGAGGTGAGTCCCCAGAGCTCCCTGCCATCCCGGAGCCCCCCCCCCACCCCGTGAGAGGCAGGCTCAGGCAGAGGGGCGGGGTGGGGGGGGAGTAGGACACACTTATGCACTGGCCATGAGGCAACATGAGACCCTCAGTGGTCTCCACAGAGCCCCGGGAGATTCTGGGACATCATGGCAGGCCTCTGGGTCACCCGAGAAGCCTGTGGGCAACCAAAAGGCCGGACCAGGTCCTTTAAGCCTCTGGCCTGCCTCAGCTGGGTGGACAGCAGCACCCTTCCCCCCCCCCCAGCCTTGCCTGCTTCCGGGCCACCCTGTGTCACCTGCCCTTACCTTACAGGGAGGCTGCATCACCAAGCTGGAGCAGTTCCTGGCTGACCACCTGCTGCTCATGGGGGCGGTGGGCATCGGGGTGGCCTGTCTGCAGGTGAGTTGGAGGGGGAGGGATTAGGACAGGGGCTTGCGTCGAGGAGCTGTGAGCCCCTCTCCCATTGGCGGGGATCGCAAATCACTGACCCTCTGCACGCCCATGTGCTGTCCTGCCCTCTCCTCCCCTCCTCCTCACCCCACCTTCCCTCGGCAGCCAAGGGTGCATCAAGGGTCACTCTCTTCCCCAGAAAAGATGAAGGAAAATGCCTGGGGGCCTGGGGGCCCACTTGAACTTGTAAGAGACCGGGAGGAGTGTGAGTGTGGGCTCAGGTATGTGCATGCACCCTCTGTGTGTGCACGTGGGTGTGTGTGCACAGCCTGCTGGGGTATGTGTGGGGCCACGGGTTGTCCGCATGCATCTAGGTGTACGTGGGGCTGTATGCACGGATGTGCGTTTAGGTGTGCTTGTGCATGTGTGTCTATGTGTGTGCATGTACATGCACTCATTCCTCTGTGTGTGCGCGCACACATGCGTGCCCGTGGATGTACGCTCCCCCTTGCACATCCAGCTCTCTGCTCTGAGCGATGCCTTTTGCCGTCTCAGTGCTCCACCCAACCCCCCGCTGTCCCCCAGGACGTCGGTGGCGCTCTCACAGTGGCTCCAGTAAAGGGTCGGTAGAGAGGAGTCAGGAGGGGCACCCTGGGGTGGGGCAGACACAGGGGACAAGGGCCCAGCCGGTGCGAGAGGGAGTTCTGTGCTGCCCCGCCCTTCCCACTCCTGGGACCACAAGCACTGACCACGGGAGGGGTGAGAGCAGTAGCCGGGCCATCAGAAGCCCCGGGGCCACCCCTGCCTCTGCTCCTGCCCCACCACTGCTTCATCCACAAAACGGGGATCCTGTCCCCAGCCACGTAAGGTCTAGATAAGAACGAGGTGATGAACGTGACCTGCTCGCGGTGCCAGCACACGTGAAGGCCTCCCCATAAGTGCACGCGGCTGTTGTCCAGCTATCTGTGGACTTCAGAGTGGTCTCAGGTACTTTCTGTCATGGGATCCCCGCCGCAACCAGAGACCCATGCCGGGCGAGTGTCCACATTCTCCCATTTTACAGATCAGAAAGTTGAGACCCAGAGAAAAGACTTCCCGAGGGTGTCACGTCCTGAACTGGCACCCAGGTCTCCTGGCTCTTGGTCTTTTGCTTTGCCCAACTCCCCACCCCACCACCACCAACAGAGAGTTGCATGGAAAGCAAAGCAGGGGCAGTAGCAGCAGTTGGTGTGGAGAACCTGCCAGGGTGGGGTTCCTTCCAGATCACCGCGGCCCGGCCATATCCGCCTGTGCGCCCGCAGGATCTAGCTGCAGCCTCGCCCACGGGGCTCTACCCGCTGGGGGGGCGGACCCGGCAACCCAGGGCTGGTTATGCCGTCTCTGGGCCTCAGTTCCTTGTTTGTAAAATGGGGCTGATTATCCCTAGTTTGGTGAGAGGATTAGCAATATATATGTAAATCACTTGGCTCATTGCTAAGCAGATAGCAGGTGTTCAATAAATGGCACCCATCATCATTGGATTCATTTCCACGTGGGCACGTTGTCTCTGGAAAAAGCCTTCTCAGAAAGCTGTTCCCTGGCCAGAGCAGAGTGTGCCCCCCCCACCACCACTGGTTCGAAGGCAGACCAGGAGCCCCCCCTCCCCCCCCATGCAGGGGCGGGGCATCCAACAGCTCTTCTCTGCACTTCCTAACGCAGGCCTTCTGCCCCACGTACTGAGCTGAGCAGTTGCTGCTGGGGGCTGAGGAGGGGGCTGCTGTGTGCTCCAGCTCCTGGGTCCACTGAAGTTTCCAGAAACCTACTGTCTGCTTCATTTGTGAGGGGCCGCCTCAGCATGGACACTGAGCAAGCATGGGCCACATTCTCTATCCCTTTCTTCCTGACCTCTCCGGCCTTGGGAGCCTGTGGAAGCTGAGGACAGGACCAGTGAGGCCCGGGGGGAGGGAGTGCGTCTGCCAGTGCCCCAAGCCTAAGGTCAAGGTGAAGTAAGGAGGGCGGTGGATGCTGCCCAGGGGGCCATGTTGTTGGGCAGGATGCCGGCTGGTCACAGACATTTCCTCCTCACGCACACCCCCATGAAGTCTCTGTCGCCCACAGCTCGCTGCAGAATTGCTGCTGGTGTCCCTCAGCGGGAGCTTCCCCTAGCCACCACTGTGGGCCCCCCGCCCCCCCCCCCCCCCCCCCCCCCCCCCCCCCCCCCCCCCCCCCCGGTTGCCCGGCCTCTCCCCTCCTTCCCGCTCCGGCTGGCCCTGCAGCAGCCAAGCCTCGGTCACAGCTCCCTCTGCTGGCCGATGCTGGAACTAAGCTGCCCAAGTCCGGGTCGGCCACCAGCCGGGAAGAAGGGCTCAGGCCAGGCCAGTGCCCAGGCTCCCAGCCCTCGTCCACCAGAGTGGGCACCAGGCACCTTCCCCACACATGGCCAGCCTGGCCCTTCCAAGAACCCCAAGGCTCAAGAGATAAAAGGCAGTGTCCTGCTTTCCTGGTGCCCAGGACCAGAGGAGACCTTGCTATGAAGTCAGAGGGCCTCCCTCCTTATGTGAACTTGAGGAAGTCACGTTCCCTCTCTGAGCCTCGGGTTCCTTTCCTATAAAATGGAGGAGCTGGACATTTTCGAGCCTTCCGTGAAGAGGCAGACTTCTCTAATCCGTGGAAATCTCACCTAGGAGCCAGGCTATTAAACATGGGGAGGAGCTGCTCGGGTTGAAGCAGGAGTTGGGACTCTAAGGTTCCATGATTTTTGGTAAGGACCCTGCCCCAGTGAGCCTCATGTGCTACAATATTCTAGAACGTTAAAGCACGTCTTGTGAATGCTCGGTACACCAAACAGAAAATGTAACTAACAAACCCCGATTTGTTTGGGGTTTGGCCACATGTCACTTGTGGCCCCATGGATGTGTGGACCAAGTGCTAACATGCTTAGGAGACATGGTGGCGGGCTGGAGGGACACAGGATCTCCACAGCACCTCCACGACAGCAGGCTTCAACCTTAGCTGCCCATGGGGGCCACCAGGCGAGCCTTAGAACTAGCCAGGCTACACCCCAGCACCGCCAAATCACATTGTCTGGGGCTTGGCACCCAGGCGCCAGCATACCTGTAAAGCTCCCTGGTGGGTCCCGTGTGCAGCCAGACCGAGAACACTGGCCCACGTGAGTGACAGGAGCCATGGGGCACCCGGAAGTCAGAGGAGGGAGAGGTCAGGGGCCTTGGAGAATATGGCACCATCACAGTCCTTAAACACCTGAAGGCAGGCGTGTAGGGGAGCAAGGGGACATTCCCGGGAAGGACCAGAGGACAGACAGGAGCCACAGGCGGAATTTACGAGGAGACAGATGGGAGTATTGAACAACTGGAATTTTCTAGCAGCAGTCCCTGCAGAGCACAAAGCTGTGTGTGGCTGCAGGTTGCAGCTTGGGGGCTGGCCGCGACCCTGCAGCAGGGCATCCTGCCCGCGGTATGCTGCGTGTCCCTCCCGCGCTGCCGCCGTGCATTCTGGGCGTGCACCTGTTCCTTTCAGCAAGACCCTGCAGGGCCCCTCTGTCCGCCTCGGGCATGTGACTCACTACTCAGGATTTTCAGACCTGAAAGGGATAACTGGGGTCTTGAGGTACCTCCAAATCACAAACTCTTCCTTCTGGAAGGTTCTCCCAAGCTAGCTAGGCCAGTGCTGTCAGCCCTGGCTGCACAGGACAGTCAGGCCCAACTGCACAGGATCAGGCTCAGACTGGGATGAGGCCTGGGCATGGGTGCTCTTTAAAGCCCTCCAGGCGATCCCCGTGTGCACCTGGGGTAGAGAACACTGGACCCACCCTGTTCATATACCTCTGAAGACACCTAGCCCCACCATGTGGTCACCTGCTAGCGGCCACAGAGCCACCATGGCAGAGCCAGCTAGGACCCCAACTCCAGCTTCCCCTCTTATGGGCGGACTCTGGAGGCCCTCCACGCTGAAGTAACTTTGGAAGCTCATTTCTAGCCTACTCGGGCAGGGAAACTTCTGTCCAGAAAGGATGGAGTGGCTCAGCTCCCTTTCCTACTGCCCTGCTCACACGCACTCGGGAAGCCTCCACCCAGAGGCCACGCAGAGGAGGCTGAAGGGAGAACATTCTCTGTCAACTTCATAATGAGAGCTGCTCTGTGCCCAGTGCTGGGGCCACCAGTGGGCAGGGTGTGCCCCCTTCTCCCAGCAGCCCTTCCCTCAAGGGAGGAATCACATGGAATGTGGTTGTCGCATGCAGTCAGGGGCACTGGGCAAGTGTAAGAACTGGGGCTTGGGGGAGCACAGAGCAGGCCATAACCTGTCGGGCAGTCAGGAAAGGCTTCCTGGGGGAAGTGATAGATAATTAAACCTTGAAGGAGTTTGACAAGAAGAATCGAGACAGGGAAGAGTGACAGGGTGAGGAAATTGGGTTTGCAAAGCCTTGGCTGGCTGCTGTGGGGGGGGGGGCTTTATCCTGAGGGCTTGGGAGAGCCACTGCCTGGCCTCTCAAAGGCTCAGGGTGCGGGAGGGGAACCATGAGTTGGTCCTATCATCCTAGTTTTTAAAAAAAATCTCTCCAGGGAAGGCTGTCAACCAGTGAACAGACTGGAGGTTTTCCTAGTGATAGAGGGAGCTTTGAGGCTCAGAGAGGGCTATAACTGTGGCCAAGGTCACACAGCCCCACACAGAAGCTACCTTACTCCCACTCCGATGTTTCCAGACTGTAGAATAGAAACATGCTGCAGAGCCCCGAAAACTCACAGGACAGCCAAGATTGGGATCTGCAGATCATTAAAAGGGAAACTGAAAGATCATATTGGACTGGCTTCCTGGGACCTCGCTGGCCCTTCCTTGATGCTCTTAATAACAATCAGGTGTTAGCCCAAAAAACCTCAAAAGAAGCTGAAAGCACGCCCCCTCCCTGTTTAAAGGGCCCCGTCAGTGGCAAATGCTGTACCTAGGCAGGCTGGCAGAAGAGGGCGCCGTGCACCGTGCAGCCCTGCCCCTCGCGCGCTGGGCCACGCCCCCATCCCCTGCTCCTGCGCTCAGCTTATCGCCTGTTCTCTCTGCTCACCCTGGGCTGGCCACCCAAAGCCCTCGGTGCTGATTTCTCTATGTCCTCCATCAGGAAGGAGATGCTGGTGCTCGCTCAGAGATCAGATGGCATCCAGTACTCCTCTGTATGAATCAGGGTGCTTGTGTGTGTGCGCACATGTATGTTGATGAGTATGCATCCTTGGTCCCTCCGCATGTGTTGGGGCGGGGGGCGGTGTGTGTGGACATGCATCGATGAGATTCTGGCCCATACACCTCCCCCCTCACCTGCCTTCCCTGGGAGGAAGGTCCACTCCCCCGGTCCCCTGGCACGGACCATACTCCGTAGGAGATGTGGCCACAAGTCTGTGCTGGGCCAATGCTTCCCATGTGGCCTCCCCCTCAGCAAGAACCAGAAAGATCCAGCTAACCCCACAGGTTAGCCATCAAACCACAAGGTGGGGAGAGGGGAAGGGGGAGTGCCGCACGACCCCTGGGTGGGAAATGGTCACAATGGCACCTGCTCAAAGCCAGTGGGAGACGAGATAACTCCTCAGGCCGCCTTCAGCTCGTGGTGCTGAGTCCGGATGTGGACTAGCGCTGCTCTTAGTGCCGAGTCTGAAAGCTGAAAGCTGTGTTCCCGGGGCTCCACTGTACTCCCACGTGGGGATGGAGAGCAGGGTGGCAGGGGCAAGAAGTGCTCATCCTCTGCCACCTCCTCAAACTGGCCTTGCAAAGAGAAACCGAGCGGCTGCGAGCGCATAGGCGTCCTCATCAGCCTGACCTGCCCCCACCGCTCAGAGCTCCGGGGGCACCCAGATGTGCTCTGGCAAGATCCGGTCAGCAGCAGCTATTGGAAAAGTTTGGGAACTATGGGGGCCTGTTCCCCGTCTCGGGGAAATCCACCTTTGCCCATGGGCCACAGGACAGTCATGGGGCTGCCCTCGCGGCGCCTCCATCCTGTGTGCAGGGGGTCGGGCCCAATGGCCTTGCTGTCTCAGCAAGATCACTGTCATGGGCCTCCTGGGTGTAACACACCCCAGCTTCTTGTCCTGCATTTCAGAGGTCGGCAAAGTGAGGCGCCACAGGGGGACGGTGATTTTCCAGGACTGCCCTGCTTTGGGCAGGATGCTCTAGCACCTCCTTGTTCAGCTAGTGAATGTGACAGAGGGGCTGTCAGGCCGGCTCCTGGGGCTGGGGCTGGGGCTGGGGCCACGCTCCACGCTGGCTTACAGGGTGATGGCCTCTGAGAGCCTTGGTTTCCCCAGCGGCTTCTGTACATCAGCCAGAGAATCGACTACGAACCTTAGTTTTGCTCTGGAGTCTGAGAGCAGCAAGACACAGAATCTCTCCTAGAGAAAGAGAGCTTCAGACAGCAATGAGGGAGTGGGACTACGACCCCTCAGGATCTAATTAAATTGGGCCATCTCAGGAGATCTAGGGCCACAGACCCATAGTGGACTGCTTGTTAGAAATGCAGGATCTCGGGCCCCACCCCAGACTTCCTAGGTTGGAATCTGCCCTTTGTCAAGGTCCCCATGTGCACCCAAGTGTGACCAGCCTGCTCCGGGGCACTCCCGGGACAGCAGCTTCCTGGGCTCCTGACCTCTTTGCTCCTCTGCTCTCTCCACCTGGCAGATCTGCGGGATGGTTCTCACCTGCTGCTTGCACCGGAGGCTCCAGCTGCATTTTTACTAATGGCCAACTGCGTCCCCCTCCAACAGCCCCTCACAAGGACAGGTGCCCAGATCCCATCTTCCAGGCCTGCAGCGTCAGCCCCAGCTTGCCCAGAAACTCCCAGAAACTGCCCCTACTCTGTGCCCAGCCCCTTCAGGCCCGCCAAGTGCCCAAGACCCTGACTCCTGTGGTTCCCACCCAGGCCCCCCCCTGGGGGGCCCTCAGCCCCCTCCCTCCACTTCCAAGTGCTCACTGCCAGGATCCCCGAGCAGGGGACCCATCCGCCAGCACCCCTCACCAGCAATGGGGGGCCCGTGGACTGCAGGAGGGTGAGAATCAGACCCTCCGCTCCCTCCCAGCTTCGGAAACGAAAATGAAGGTCTGAAGACCCCAGCCCCTCTGGGACTCCTCCTTGCCTTGGGCCCGTGAGCTCCCCTTTGGTGCTGAGCCCCCCTCCTCTGGTTCTGCTCGGTGTCCTTTTCTCTCCCCACTGGGAGATACTTAGGGTAGGGCAGTTAGGGTCACTCTGCCCCCAGAAGACCCAGTCCTTTGATGTGCCCATCCCCACACCTTCTCACCTGGAAGGGAGTGTCCTGATGGCCTGGTTCCTTCCCTCAGGGCCCGGCAGTGGAGAGGTCTGGGGTGAGGACCCTGGAGCTGGGGTTGGGCAGTGGTGGGCTCGTGGCACTGCCAGGGAGGGGACCAAGGCAGGTAAGGTGGCCACCACACCACATGCTGCCCCAGGACCCTGTGCACTGCCCAGAAGCCATCCCTGGGAAGAGGTCCCCCAGGAGACCATGGCCTTGAGCCCCAGTCCGCAGTTAATATGCCCCTCAGGGATCTCCTCTCTATGGCCTGATTCTCAGGAATGCCAGGTTTTTAAAATGATCTCCATCTCTTAATGTTGGTGGGAGTGAAAACCCCTTCCTGATTAGGCCAAATCACAGACCCTGCAAAGCTGGAGCCACGGAGAAGGTGCAGCTCTGAGTAGAGGGGTGCTCTGCCCTGAAACCTGTTTTTCCTGGGCCCACAGTCCCTGACCACATGGCCACCACTGAGCCGCCTCCAGGAGCCCTCTCTCCGCTTCCCAGAGTGAATACATACAGTCCCTTTCTTTGGTTCTCCCTTGCTTCTCTGAATCAGGCAGGGAATTTTTCAGGAAGAACTTTCTCAAATACTAAGGGAGAACGGAACAAAAAGAAAACCCTGGAAAATGCAGAGTACAGACTCTGGCGGTTTTCCAAAGAACAAGTGTTAACCTGGAAGTCAGCCACAGGGACCCCCGCCCCCCAGTAGCTGTTCCAAGTGGGTAGCCCGGAGCCAGAGAAGTCCACACCCGGCTCCCGTACCTTCCAGGTCCCGTGCTGCCCTGCTGGGGACCCTCTTACACCCCACCATGAGAGGGTGGCCCCTTGCTGATAAGATCAAGCCAAGAAAGGTCACACCTTGCCTCCCAACTCATTCCAGGCCCCAGTGTGATGAGCGCAGCTCTTGGTAACCTGCGTCAGTCCTGGGTGAAGGGTGTTCTCTCCCACACAGTCACTGCTGCCCCCAAACAGCCCCCAACTGGACAGACACTGTGCCCCCTCAGAACACAGATTACTCCCACGCGCAGAGGGAAGACCAGCTTCCCAGGGCAGGTGGCCTCCCCGACCAAGGGGGTCCTCCAGGGGCTACCAGAACCCCGGCTGGCTTATCCGCTCTACCCTCAGGGCCCTGGGGTTGCTGATGCAGACTCATTAACAGGGAGACCAGCTTTCCAGCAATCCCGGACTGCACCAAGGCCGGAAGAAACAGTACTGGGACTATCTTTGGTGCCCTCCAACTTCCTGGGACTCATGCAGACAATCGAGACATGATGGACCCCCCAAGCTCTCTGCAGGGCTAGGCGGCGGACTGCTGGGTCTTACCAAGGGAGGGCTGAAAGAGAGCCGTGTTCTTCCTTGGAGGGGCCCGCGGGAGGCAGTGATGCCCGGGGAGGGGCTGGGTCCTGTGGTACCTGCCAACCCCTGCTGGAGTCACCCCACTCTTGACTGAGGTCAGTGGGGCTTGTGGAGGTGGGACAGGGTGACCGGCCCCCGCGTGGGGTTAGGCCGCCCGGGGGGAGGGCGGGATTAGCTGTGATTCTACCCTGGGCACCGTCCCACCCCGACGGCCGCTGGAGGACGGATGGTCCAAGCTGCAGAGACAGAAGGGCCCAGAGCTTTAGACAAAGCTGATCTGCTTGTTCGTGCCCACAGCCCGGGACGGGAGGCAGGGTTGGAGGGAACGGAGGCCCAGGATACGGCAGGCTCCGGCTCAGGACACACAGAAGGCAGGAGTCCCGAGCCCAGGAGGTGCCCGCCTGGCCTGAGAGGATGCGGATCTGCGCCCAGGGCGCTGCGTGGAGGCAGTGGTACTCGCGCATTCCTCGGGGAGAGAGGGAAGGGCACGCAGGACTGTCGCACGCCGCCCGCAGCGGGTGTGTGAGCACACCGGGACCCAGAAGAGCCAGCATTCTGTCGAGGTCAGGCCACGGCAGCTGCTGGAATCCACACGGCCTGAGTCACCCATCCTCGCCCTTCCCTCCGCCCGTGCGCTGGGGCAGCCACCCTGAGAGGGATGGCCTGTCCCCACTCGGGATGACCCGTTTCATTCATTTCCCTCATTCCTTTTCCTGGGGAGGCAGGAATGAAACTCGGCCCTTGGTGAGGGGATAAGGCTTGCTTAAAATGTTCGTGACCTCCCCTTTCTTCTCCCTACCCCTCCCGACAGCCTTGCCCCAACTCTAGGGGCCCCTCTGGCCTCGCCACAGGGGAGCGTCCAGGGCCTGGTGGTTACTGAGGGCCTACTGTGTGCTCAGAATGTGTTAGTCCCCTAAGTGCTTTCTCTCATAGCGATCGCTGCAAGAAGGTACTATTGTCCCACTCCACAGGCGACAAAATTAAGGCCCAGAGCTGTTAAGAGATTGGCCGGTCAGTGGCCGTGGCTGCTGTCCTGCACCCCGACCGGGTAGAAGAAAGGGGAGCTGGGAGCCCCCGCTGCTCGGCGTCCTCTGGCTCTCCATCTGTGCAGCAAGCTGTCAGGCTGATGTTCAGGAACAGCGTGGTCCTCGAGGGGCACTGTCCAATAGCAGCAGCCTGGCCCCCCTTCCCAGAGCGGCTGGAACCATCCATCAGCCGCGGCGCCCATGCGCCCTGCGCATCTGCACTCAGCAGAGAGGCCTGGCTTCTTTCCCCCTGACAGCCAGGCGGTGTGGTGGCTCAGGCTGCAGGCGGGGGCCCTGGGGACCACCACTCAGGGCAGGGGCCAGCCCATCACCTCGGGTGCCAGCGCTGACACCGAGAGCAGACCAGACCTCAGCAATGTGAACCCGAACACGGCGTGTGGAATCTCATGCCCCGGCGGAGATCACATCTGGGGGCACGCAGGGCTGGCGAGGGTGCGGGGAACCCCTCTCCTTGCCCCATGTGGGGCCCAGGGGAAAAGTCTCAGGTCACAAGCACTCACAGCCACCCTGGGTGGGGAGGAGGCTCCGTGGGGCGGGGGGGCATGTTAACCACCTCCAGCTACCATTCCCTACCCTGTATTGCTGATGCGGGGCTCGGGAGGTGGTGGCCACAGCGTGGTCTCTATTTCACGGAGCTGACGGCCTGGAATCTCATCAGGCCGCTCAGCCCGTGCACGGCCACAGGCACTTAGGTCTGGAAGGGCCAGCGCTGCACTTGTGGGAGGGGGGTGCCCCCAGGATCCTTGTGCCCTGCAGCCAGTTTGGGTCTTAGAATCGGCCACTCTGGCCCGTCCCGGGGTTTGGAGATAGAGGAAGTGAACTGAGACAGTTTCATCACCCCCCACCCCACTTTCCACCTTGCACACACTCTCCACTTTTGGCCACTTGGGGCCTGGGGAGAGAAGGGGAGGAGTAGGGGAAGGCGGTCGACTAGCTAAGGAGAAAACGTGTCTTCTGTGTCACTGCTGGGTGGCGCTCACATCGCTGAGGATGCTAGTGATGTGGTGGAACCAGAAGTTGTCAAACTTGACGATGCGTCAGGTCGCCCGGAGGGTCACCCCCTGAGCGTCACCTCTGCAGGGGCAGGGCGGAGGACTTGCGTTTCTAACAAGTTCCCAGGTGATGTTGGTGCTGCTGGCCCCGGACCCACCCTTTGAGAACCGCTGCTTCAGACCACCCCACCAAGGACGCTTGGCCACCTTCCTTCGTAGGCGCGTCAACCCTCAGCATCCTTCAGGATGTCTGGCTGGAGCCCAGCCCATTCACCGCTCAAGGGCGGGCCAGGGACGCGCCTCTCCTCCCATGCCTTCTTGCAGCACCTGCTCTGCCCTCTGCGTGGGTCTGTGACCGTGGCTGGGAGACCAGGTGCCTGGGTCCTCTTCCTGGAAGGGAACAGATTAGCTTCCGACCACCTTCCGTGTGCCTTGGGAGAGTCCAGCTCCATTCTCGTCGCCCCACTTTCTAGTTTAGCACGATGGCCCCGCCCCGCCTCTACTCCACCCCCCAGCCTCCCATGTGCCCCCTTCCCCTCTTGCTTCTGCCCCCAAGACCCCCCGTGCAAGTGCCGCTAGCAATTCCAGGCAGCCCAGTATTAGGCCAGATGGGCTTCTGGAACCAGCTGGCCCGTGGATATGGGTCGTCACAATATTCTGGAAACTGAGAAGTTGCCTTACCTACTGCATATAGAGAAGTTGCTGTGTAGTTGTGAACATGCCCCTCTGCTCAGCCTGGCCTCACCTGCTCAGTGGCATGATAATAAAGGAGTTGTGTCTACGGCTACCTTCTGTTGCTTTTTGCCTCCTCTGCAGGGACATCTCAGACCATCAGTTCATCAGATGTCTTTCAACCCACTGTACGTGCTGGAGCCGACATTAGTCGTGGGGAGAAGGAGAGGAAGGAGGAGCCCTATCAGGAAACCCACTGACCACACTGATCGGGGTCCTGTCTACCTTTTTTGGTCTGTCCACCTATTCTTTGAACAGACCGTGCCTTGCCTACACATGGCTACAAGCGAGAGCCAGGCTCAGACAAGTGGGCTCAGACTGCATTCCCCTGAAAGCTCTCT